GAAATCAGGTAGTACAGATGACAAATCGCATCTGGCTTCCTTCTCTCTGCCAACAACTGCTTTGCCCTTTCTGCACCAGTCCCTCCAAGCAATTGATGTCATTTTGCAGTTTGCTCTTCAAAAAATATCAGTGCCATAGGCAGAGATACCCCCCACTAGATCAGGTTGCCTAAAACCCCATTCAACCTGACCTTGAACACCTCCAGAGATGCTGTCTAAGATCCCAACATGCCTACTGGGACCTCTACAAGGATTACTTTAGTTTATCATCTAGGGTTAAGAAACATAGCAAATAGTGTAGTGTCAGATTCCAGTAATTCTGTCCTGGTGGCCAGATTCCATGGCAGGGAAGGGACTGACTAGTCTACTTTGTAATACTAGCCTTTTCATGACATCCCATAGTTTGATCATGCTTTGGCCTTTCTGCTGCGCATTTTTGCAGAATCTGCATATGAAGCTAAAGATTCAGTTCTTTCTCATTCTAGTTTAAATTGTAGCTAGCTGATGCAAGAAATAATTTTGAAAGAAAACAAACCATTCCATCCAGGATAATTTAATACTGCCTTCATGGGATCAGGCAAAAGACTCACCCACTTCAAAAGCCTCCCTCTGACAGAAACCACCAGCTACAGCATACAGAAAGCAATGAAGCAACAGAGCAGATACATATCCCATCTTAAGGTCCCCTACAATAACGGTGGTAACCACCGTTATCTTGCAAAATACAAAGCTGTAAGCTTGCATCCTGATCAAATTCTATCATAGATTACTACATAATGAAATACTGACATACTGAAAGGAATAAAATTTGATAATCTGAATATAAGGAGTGTAGGGCGAGGGGTTTGGCTGCAACAGGGAAGGATGTGACAATTTTAGGTATTTTAATTTTTAGCTTATTTGAAAGCTTTTCACACACAGCAAGATTAATTAATATTAAGCTTCAAGAAGAGATTAAAAGAACGTTTGTAATGAGAAGGAAGAACTTTGATTAATGATACTGAAGAACTCTGTCACATCTGGCAATATCAGTGGTAGGTGGATGGTTGGACAAGATGATCTTAGAGGTCTTTTCCAACTTTAATAATTCTATGATTCCATGATTGTACATCAGATGAAGTAACTGTAGTCTGTCCAAAACACCAAACCAACTAAGCGGTGACTGGTTTATTACTTGCCTAACCAACATGACATCTAGATTCAACTGGCTATTAATCATCTTCACTTCCTCTCTAAACCACGTATCAGTGTCGCGGTGGGTTGTCTGGCAGCTATTTCCCTTCTCTGAAGCAGCTGCATTAGAGCAGTGAACAAGCTCATGCACATGGCAGAGTCTATAAAGCACCTGCTGTCTGTTAAGTGAAAAGCACAGCCTATTTGTGGTAATAACTCTTCTACGAGTGAGCAAAACTTACACTTCTGTGAGAACTTTGAGAAGTTTAATTCATTAGTTAATTTGTTGATTTACTCTTATTGATCAACAAGCACACAATAAAAAAATTAGATTACTTCATTGCTACTGAAATTAAAATGCTGGACAGCAAAGAAGAGTTTCCCACTGAGCAGAACTATTTAACTTCTTGCATAGCAGACTTGACATCCGAAGAGCTATAGATCAAAACCAAGCATTGCAAGTAGAGAGAGGAGGTGAAGAAGCACATACAGTTCCAATTTGACAGAGAACAAACAGAGCTATTGATTGGTGCTTATATTACCTGGATTTAATTAAATGGTTTGTCACTGCAAGGCAAACATTTATGTACAGAATTTAATCACAGACTTGTCCCTGGAAATTCGCTGAGCTATTACTGAGTAGGTAAACATGTATGGTGTGCTGAAGGCCAGTTGATTCTGTTGATAGGAAAGGAATTATTTTGGCGGCAGCTAAACACTGCCACCAACAATTCATCCATTATTCATTCTTGCAAGCAAACCATCTGGATGCAATGCAAGATGAGTATAGAGCCTCATGCAAGAGACTGGCAGCAGAAGGCTTCTCTTTGCAGCAAAGAAGAATAATTTCTGACAGAATATCAAACCAAATCAAGTGATAGAAAAAGCATCTCCATGAGTGACAGCGAGTAGCAACTTTAACCAGCACAAAAACATCTGCAAACAAGACAAAGACAAACTAGAAATAGCTTCATTCATCTTCTCCTCTTTTCTCCCACTCGCCTTTTGTGGAGGAAAACTTATTTTCAGAAATGTGTTGGTTTTTTTAAAGTTTTAATTTATTAGAACTTCTTTTTTTCTTTTTTTTTTCTTTTTTTTTTTTTTTTGAGGGGGTGCAATTTTGGCAATGCTGTGTTAAAATCCCAGAACTCCATCAGTATCTTGAAATTTAGCACTTCCCCGTTTTGCAAGAGAATACTTTCCTGTTACTAAAAAATACAGAAGAGGGTATTTCTTCCTCTATGGGAGTTTTTAAGTCAATTCCCTGCTTTTTTTCCAAACTTCTGAGGGGAAAAATAAAACGCACAGATTTTTTCATTGTGTAAAAGCAACAGCAACAAAGCCTGACCTCACACACATGCCCAACTACTCAAGAAAAACATTCTAGTTTTGATGTCCAATATTATTGAAAACATCTATCAAAGCACCCGAGAGTCCTGAAGTAACTGCCACCTCCAGAGATTTCCCAGAGAATGGACACATCCTTCACAGGTACATGCTTTATTTCTATTAGTCTGGTGTCTGGAGGGTGTACAGATCACCTCATTACAGTGTGCACTGGCCAATGCTCTTAAGCAGAAATAGTCTCAGCCTGACACAAAGAGCTCAGTCACAGAGCAGTGACTGGAAAAGCCATGGGGAAGCAGTGCAGACTCCTTCTGTGCTCCACTCATGAGATCAGCATGCTGGCAGGTACACAAACCTCACCCAATACTCTTGATAGGCTCAGCTCTAGCTTCAACAACCTGGGGTTTTCTGACTGCAACCCCCTTTGTTGCAACTATGTAGTTTCTGCCTTCTTTACCAATGATTTATTTTGTCTTGGTGCTAAACAGCCTGACAGGCAGATAAGTGCACCTTCATCAGGATTTTTCTGCCTTCTTTTTGATCTTTCAGTTTTACTCATATATTCTGATTTGTGTTCCTCTTGGGAAGTTCAGGAAGGACAAAGTTGCTGTTTTGATCTGCACTGTTCTCTCAAAGTACTCAATGTGCAGTCCCATAATGTAATGCATGGGAGTGACCTAGGTCAGAGGTTATTATGCTCCAGGCTTCACATGTGAACACGTCCCTCCTCCCAGGTAAGAGCAAAATGCTAATTTACAGTAAGTAGACCGATGTCCTCCTCCTGCAGGTTGTTAGGATGCACCAAGCAAATGGAAAGCAGTAGATGTTACCAGCACGGTCTTGAGGCCAAGCACCACGCCAGCAACAAGTCTGTCAAAAGATCATTGTCTTATGCATAATTTACCTAGACTCTGTGGCCTGGTGCTGGGGCATCTACTGCTGAATTGCAGAACTGCACCTACATAATATCTATTGCAGAATTCTATGTCTTTCTAAGGTAATACAGCCAAAGACAATATATATGTATTTTAAAGATGATATAAGCAGCTTGGAATCTAACTAAGAAGATCTTCAGTGATCACAGCTCTCAAAACCTGTGACTTAATAGATTTCTACAGAGCTCCTATGCAGAATGCTATGAAACAGTCCTGAGTACAGACATCCTAATAGGAGATATTCTGACAACTGAATCACAAAACCATTTAAATTCAGAGTTTTTTTGCTCTGTGAATAATTTGCCTTTTTAAGATACTGGGTATTTTGCATGAAGATCATAGAAAAAGCATAATATGCTCTTTATAGAGTCAAAGATGGATAGAGGAATTATAGAATCGTTTAGGTTGGAATTGCATCAGTTTTTGTCACACAGTAATCCTTGCTGAGCCTTCTGACCTGCACTATGCTACTGAAGAGTGTAAAGTAATGTAATATGTACACACAGCAAATTGCAATGAGGATGGTTGCAGTGTTTATCACCAAGCAGTTTTCAGTACTCACTAACAACGCACTGCCTCAGCTGCATCCTGGCCCAGAGAAGAACATTTCCTGTTTGTAAACATCACATGCTTTCTGCAAGATCCACGTATAAGCCCTCCTTTAAACATCTGACAAGGACCAAACCCACAGTTTTGGAAAGTCCACAGGGAATCAACCTTTGGCCAAGTGTTTATTACCCACATGAATATTAACCATCACAAACCAGAAAATATTTCTTTACAGCTAAAAACCAAAATTGGTCTAAGAAAGCAAGCAACAGGCTCAACACCATCCCATTTCAATTCTCCATAGTATCAGAGAAGTGCTGTGCATTACACTCAGTTTTACATTCCCAGGTAAGAAATGCTAAGAGTTACAAACCTGACGAAATCAAGGTGATTTAACCTTGCTTTCCTCCCTTAATGCATTCCTGCTGATGCATACTAGGAAAATTGGAATACATGATCTCATCTCCCTATACAACTAGGGAGCTGTGGGTCCATCCACAAGGCAAACCAGATGCAGTTGACCTCTGTGCAGATGTCTATTCTTTCCTGTTGATGACAAAGGAAACCTAGGATGACTAAGCCTTCAATTTAAGTAGTACAGTTAAGCACCTACAGCTAAATGATTGCATGTGCACAGAGCATGTGTAATTCAACATCTTCCAGCTGGAGAGACAGGTTGCTTTGTCTTTGAAATGCTCATGTAACTAGGAGCAGAAATTATCCCACTTCACTTAGTTAAACAATATCAACTAGACATATAACACTCAATAGAATAACTGGTCATGCTCATTTTCCATCTTATTTAATAATGTTGTATATTTAACAAAGTCAAATCCAGATGATAAAGGAAAACTGTATTTGAACTGGAACTTCTAGCAACAGATAATACGTACTTGAAGTTCTTGTGCTGAAGGAACACATCTTCTATATTGTATCTGACCTTAACAAATGTTAACTGAGCTGGTTTTGCACAGATTCATATTTTATCTGCTTACCCCTACACAGCAGCTTCAGGTGAGTGTCCAAGTAGCACAGCACAAGTCCAGCCAAGTACTTCAGACTCTTATGTAGTTCTTCTAACCATGATGGATGAAAGACAATTTTGATATAAGTGGCTGAGAAGGATGTTGTGTGGTGTTGCTATCTGATCACAAAAACAATGGGAAATCACAATCCGAAGGCCAAAAAATGTATCCTAGAGAGATGACAAGATGACAGTTTTTTGTGTCATAAAATAAAAAGCAAAAGTTTCTTTGTTGTGCAACTCTGAATCGTCCTGTAACCTTCACTCATCCCAATTGTCACTTGGTTCTGGCTTTTGTCTCACAAATCAGTTTGGTTCTATTCACAGCTTACAGTTATTTTTGTACTTCATAATATCACGAACAAGTTCCATGATAAACCTTTGACTGTTAGCTAAACTAGTTACTGCACAGCGGAAAAATTACCAGGTCTAGCATAAATTGCAGGTGACTGCCTACTCTTCTCTGCTCAAGAACAACAGTCAGCCAGTCAGCCACATACACAGATCAGCCAATACAGCTTACTTATAAATCCCAGATCTGTGACTCAGTCATCTGGTGGCAAGTTTGAATCTTCAGCAATGAACTGAGCAAATGTCTTCAGTTGTTGGGCAAATGAAAATGCCCACACCACCTCATTCCCTCTGGCAGGGCTGAGGTTTACTACTGTTATCCTAGGGTAGGATACAACAGGGAAATAATTCCCTCATTTTTAACCCACAGATACTTGTCTAATTTCCATCAAAACACTGGCATTCTTTGCATTATTGGAATAATACTTGTATCGAAGACCAAATTTCAATGGCTTTGGCCTGATGTTGTTTTTAGAAGAGGACACACTGAAAGGAAAGCACTTGCAGAATAGGTAGAAAATGCAACAGACGACAAACAGAAGTAACAACAGAGAATTAGGTGTTATCTAACTCCCATCAATCAGCAATAGAACTTCTTGTCCTCCTTTATATGTCTCTACCAAAACATATGTCCAGTTACTCAGTGTTGAACA